GGTGGGAGAGGGCCAGATTGGATATTAGGAAAAACTATTTTACTAGGAGGGTAGTGAAGCATTGGAATGGGTTACCTAGGGAAGTAGTGGAGTCTCCATCCCTAGAGGTGTTTAAGTCTCGGCTTGACAAAGCCCTGGCCGGGTTGATTTAGATGGGATTGGTCCTGCCTAGAGCGGAGGGCTGGACTTGACGACCTTCTGAGGTCTCTTCCAGTTCTGATTCTATGATAAGGGGATGGTTGGATGAAATAACATGATCTTGGTAACTAATTGACCATTCATTTCCAGTTGGAAATAGGTCAATGGAGGGATGATAGGAGTTACTAGAGAGAACTTTCTGGGTGTCTAGCTGGTGAGTCTTGCCCACATGCTCAGGGTTTAGCTGATCGCCATATTTGGGGTCGGGAAGGAATTTTCCTCCAGGGTAGATTGGCAGAGGCCCTGGAGGTTTTTCGCCTTCCTCTGTAGCATGGGGTACAGATCACAGCTGGAGGATTCTCTGCATCTTGGGGTCTTCAAAGTATTTGAAGGCTTCAATATCTGAGATCTAGGTGAGAGGATTATTCTAGGAGGGGTGGGTGAGATTTTGTGGCCTGCACTGTGCAGGGGGTCAGACTAGATGATCATAATGGTCCCTTCTGACCTTAAAGTCTATGAGTCTATGAGTCTAAGAGTCACCTATCTGTCAACCCTCGACCTGACAAAGGGCTACTGGCAAATCCCGTTGTCAGCCGAAGCACAAGCAACGATGGCATTCGCCACTCCCTTTGGGTTGTACCAGTTTAGGAATATGCAGTTCGGACTGCACGGGGCCGCAGCTACATTTCAGAGACTCATGAACCGTATTTTGAGAGACCATCAGGACTATGCGGCCGCATACATTGACGATATCATAATATTCAGCGAATCCTGGGAAAAGCACCTAGAACATCTGACGGAGATACTGGAAGCCCTAAGACAGGCAGGCCTAACGGCCAACCCAAAAAAATGCCAATTTGGGAAAACAGAAATTTCATACTTGGGGTATACGGTGGGGAGAGGGAAACTTAGACCCATGGTAGATAAAGTACAGGCCGTCCGAGAATACCCCACCCCCACCACAAAAAGGAAGGTAAGACAATTCCTCGGCTTGGCAGGGTACTACAGGAGGTTCATAGCTAATTTTGCATCGTTAGCAGCCCCCCTCACAGACCTCACCCGGAAAGGACAACCCGAAAAGGTAAAGTGGACGCCAGCCTGTGAGGCAGCTTTCCAGGAGCTGAAAAAGCGGTTGGTATGCGCGCCGGTGCTGGCGCAGCCAGACTTTGACAAACCTTTTATCTTACAGACCGATGCGTCAGAGGCCGGACTAGGGGCCGTATTGACACAGGAGGAGGGGGGTGATGGGCACCCTGTCTTATATCTGAGCCGCAAACTTTTTCCCCGGGAGAAGGGGTACGCGACGATAGAGAAGGAGGCCCTGGCACTAAAATGGGCAATTGACTCATTACGATATTTTCTTTTAGGGGGGAAATTTACCGTGGTGACGGACCACGCTCCCCTCCAGTGGATGCAGAATATGAAAGAGACAAATCCTCGGATATTGAGATGGTATCTCAGCCTACAACCCTACCAATTTCAGGTGACACATCGGGCAGGAATCGCGAATGGGAATGCGGACTGCCTGTCACGAATAACCGAGACACCGGGGGGTGAGACGGTAAGGAGAGCCCCAGACTTGAGGGGGAAGGTGTGTGGCGGGGTAGCCCCACCACTCCCAGAA